GCTACACCAATTATCCAAATATTTAATACGAAAGAAATTGTTAAAAAATCATTACAAACAAGAAATACAATATTTTGTGACACATAAATTACCTTTTTAGCAATGATTACGTGGTCGGTCTTCTCAATTTAGAAACAATCACTTAAGCCTACCGGTCAATCATAAAGCCTATTACATATATTATACCTTAGCATACTAGGTTTTGCAAAAAGACTTGTTTTTAACATCCATGCACTTGACTGGATGTTTTAAGCCCTCGAACCTTACCCTATTGTTCCATCGCACTTTAGCGTGCTATACCATCGTACTTTAGCAAACTAGCAATCATCGCACTTTAGCGTGAGACACCATCGTACTTTAGCGTAGACCATCGCACCTTAGCGTGACCATCGCACTTTAGAGTACCATTGCACTTTAGAGCCCTACATATATAATCAATATACATCAACAGTAGAAATAGTAGCCGTCTAATTTTAGTGTGAACTGTATGCTTAACTAACTGCTGCATTAACATCTGCTTGCATACTTCTAATATACAACACATAAAAGCCTCTGCATATGAACGTTCTTATAGCTAGACTTTTTTAAATCTTAGAATGACTAACTTTTATTCCGCAAATATAGATCAATGATTTTTTAACAGAGATGTCATCTACCTATAACATGTGCATAATACAGATTCTTTAGACTTACTTTACATGGCTTTTATTTGTTTTTTATTTAATGATGAGTTTAAACACCTAACCTCTATCCAGTATCCCCAACAGTTAAAACAGTTATTTAGCTAGACATTGCTTTTAATATATACGCAAGACGCGCGTTACGTCAACACAAGACTTGTCAGTGGCGCTCGATTCAAAGTTGAAGAAAGTTGAACCAAAGTAGAATCTATTATACTCGGAACGAAAAATCTACAATGAAAATGTTCTTCAAGTAAAATCGTAGCTACGTTAAAAAGGACATATTAGATAATGCTTAATTAGAGATACTTTGAGCATTGTCTTACATTTTCGTGATATCTAATAAAAAGTATGAATAATGAATAGATTTTAGGTATCAAATCTGTACATGAAGTTAAAATGGAGGAAAAATACAACTGATATCAAAACTATTTAGTGTACTTTTAATTTTGTTTTAGCAAATGGTGTTTCTGATCTAAATGGTTTGACGTTTGGAAATATATGTATTGTTTCCGATGAAGTAGATTATGATTTTGTTATCGGTATAGAGGGACACTCAATAAACGATAATATTATGAATAGAGTTCATTTGGAGGAATTTGAAAGACAAGGTGTTCTCGACATTTATCCTGGAAACTCAATTTATAATACATTCCTCAAAGTTATAGAAAAATGAACATGGCAGACGAAGAATTACGAATAAAAAAAATTTAAAAAATTTGACAAACCGTTTTAAAATCGGATTTATTTGTGGAAAGCTCTAAAACTAAAATCTTCGTGGTGACGTTTCCTCAACGAAAACTGCATGGTTCATTTTTGACTGACAGACACGGTAATGATATTTTCAAATAAACAAAACTGATAATACTTCTACAATAAAAGTATATGGTAATGGCGATTGTAAGATTATTTAGATAAAAGTGACTTTTCAAAGTATTATGTTCATGTTACGTTGAAATAAAGTAACTATATTCGGTGGGAGTATTCGATTTTTGTTAAAATCTGCACTTCGGTTACAATAAACTCATCATAGATACCAGGATTGAAATTTTGTATGCCAGACGCGCGTCTCGCCTACAAAATACTCATCAGTGACGCTTGAATAAAAAAAGTTAAAAAAGCCAAATAATTACGAAGTTTAAGAGAATTGAGGACCCAAAATTCCTAAAAGTTTTGCCAAATACTGCTAAGTTAATCTTTTCCTGAGGTAGAAAATCCTTAGTATTTCGAAAATTCAAAAGTTTGTAAACAGCTAATCTATAATTATGACCATATCAATGATAGTGCATGTCAACACAGAAGTGCTAAACAAATTTATACGTTATGAAATGATGATTTCTTTACAAATATTGCAAAGCTGTGTACCGGAATTCTTTATTCTAACACAATATAAATTGCTTATGTTATTTGTAGGTAAAATCAAAGATACATGTAGCACATATGAAGATGGATGTTCAAGGTAGGTTTAGAGTTTATGATAAGTTTATTGTAAAAATGATAAACCGAGCGGCTTTCTCTTTCCTATTGTTAATCTTTCTTTCTTTGATTATGATGTCCGGTTGACTCCTTCTTACGGAATTAACATTTGGTTGGATATGCGTGTGTTTGTAATCACGTCTCAGATTTAAATGAAAGTTATATTGATATAAAATTTTATTTCATATTTTATGGTAATATCAATTAAAATTACAGTTTTATGAACTTCCGTTTAGATCTTTCTGTTGGATTAAATAAATTTATTTGCAAAGGGTTTTATAATACTGTTCAAATGCAACGTATTGCGTTTTTTTGGGATGAACGTCAATCGTTTGAAGTATTAAAGACTAAAATGTTTAATTGTTATTCTGCATCAAAAACACGAACACCTATGTTCTCGGCATTGTACAAGATCCTGTCTTACTGTAATGTTTATACTGCTGGTGTATGACATACACTCTGAAGAAAAGGATGGCATAATCTAACTACTTTTAGCTTAATTTCTGTAACGATGAGCATTCATTGATAAGCTATAGTTTATTATTAATTTAGATCCTTCGAGAAACAGTTCGTGGAAATATAGAACTTATACTTGGTGAAATGGAAACTGACATAATCGAAAAAACATTCCACTTATGCAATGCTTCTGAGTTTATCAAGGAATCTGTAATGAACTGTAAACGGTCAAGACTAAGCAGGGCAAAGCGTTTTATTATGTATATAATGCAGAACGAAAGTGTTTTGAAAAAGTTCATTACAGTTTTTAAAGAAAAATCCTTTGTTGATTTCTTACCTGCTGAATGTGACTCTTGCTCAAACAAGGAAAGAAACGGTAAGATTTTACAATTGTTTTTTAGTTTTAAATATATCAACTCATGGAACGAAAAAATATATACTGTGTTTTAATGACTCTATCTAGCACAGTAACATGATAAGAAATTCTTAGAACCGAAAAATAATACAATTGTATTGCTGAACATAACATCACAAAGCATTAGGAGACAGGCATTCCTTCTATTGTAATGCACAAACGCTGATCTATTGTTGAAACTTATTTTTCTATTAGAAAGATTAAGAACATTTGAGAAGAATTATTAAAGAAAAAAGTAAACGAAGTGTTACCGGAGAGGAATGACTACATTTTACTTGCCCTGTAGAAACAAATAAATGCAATGCAATAGCACACTTATTGTACGAAGCCTAAACATACAAGTAATGAAGACTCAGTGAAAAGAAGAAAAAAATGCCTTGGTGTCAGTTTCCGTTACAGTTTTTTAACATAAAGAAGGCGTTTAAAGGAAAGTCTGTAGAACACTAAGTATTTCATTTAATATCATGTAACGAAATGGAAGTTTTCTTCAGTAGACATTTGAATATTTTGATAAGCAACTCACTTGGGAATAGTCTTTAGAAAATTTAGCTAAAATCCTTGCGTCTTTAAAAGTAAGAGGAGTACTGCAATACACTAACCATAAAAATAATTCCAACCCGTAATTTTAGAACTGGTAATTCATTTTACCCTTTATATTATTCTATCAAACAATTTCTAAGATGAAAATACAGAAAATTGTTGGGTTAAATCATTTAAGATATTTCAAAAGTTCAAGTTTGAGTTTTGCAAAAGACAAAGTTATCCAAAATTAATAAACCAGTCATTTGCCCTGTTACCTGTTTTTTTTCCATAGCGTTCATTGGGTTTGAAGTATGATATGATTCAAGTTTGGCATATTTTTTTTCTAAACGGCATTCTGATTATCTTCCGGATTTTCTTAATCAAAATTATTAAAAAGTTATCAAGCTAAGATTGAGAAATTTTAACAGGTTGTACTGTCATTTCTATGGCCATTACTATTATAAGATATTGAAAAGTAAAATTATAATATTCACCTCGTCAGTAGTTTTCTTTTGTTATATCTCAATGATTTTATTTTCAATTGAAGATTTGGGTGTTTATGATGTTTGTTTATTCACAACTTTTTAGACTGGATTTGAGTTAGAGTTGACATATTATATAGACACTAACGGGTTGCTGAAAAGCGTATGTCGAGCCTTCGATAGAATTTAGCTTTTTACGTTGACTTGATATCTATGACGTTTATCTAAAAAGTAAAACAACAAAAATACCGAACTCCAAGAAAATTTAAAACGGAAAGTCCCTTAACAATTGACAAAATCAAAAGCTCAGACACATCAAACGAATAGAAAACCCTCCTTTTATTTGGGGAAACAGATTGCATGTACCAAGTCAGAAATATGACAGTTGTTTTCCATTTGTTTGATGTGTTTGAACTTTTGATTTTGCCATTTGATAAAGGAATTTCCGTTTTGAATTTTCCTTGGAGTTCGGTATTTTTGTTATTTTACTTTTTTCTTAAGTACATCTGAGTGCATCCCTTACAACTGAAATATATTTTATATTATAGTTGAACTGAAAGCAACAGACTATCAACAAGATTTTGAAAAGCTGAGATTTCAGGTTTTGATAAACAATTCAGGCAAGTTTATAACACATAAAAAATTAAAAATCAATTTATGAAATTACCATGCAATGGTTGTATATGTTTACCAATATACGTTGATTATGCTTTAAAAGTTCGTTCATTCCTTCATCATATTGTCTTTACTACCTACCTACAACTTCCCTTTGTTTCCATGAATATGTGTTAAATGACAGAGAATATGACAAAGGTGTAATCAAAACAATAAGATCAAAGATAAAGGAAATACAGACAACATTCTGGAACAAAAACGAATAGGCAAAAACCACTCCACAAATTACGTAATCAAGCATTTTGGTTGCTGTTTTGATTTTGTTTGTTTTTTAACTTGTGACTTTTAACGATTAGGTATCAAAATTACTCAACTTAATGATGTTAGCAGTAATGGTGCACGTGCAATTTGCCAACCACAAAAGCCGCTGAGTACTGAACAGTTGTATAACAGGTAATTATCAGGTTAAAGGTTAATATATAGCCTTTAACTTAATTTATTGAACATTTTCTACATCAATTTGAAAAGAAACAATAAACAATTACTGCTCAGGCGAGGTTGACAAGGTTTTAATGGTCCTCTTGAAATATAAATGTTTTTTAACATAACATTTTAGTTAACTTATGGAATACATTCTGGGCAGCATGTTTTACCATTTCAACTTGGAAGTCAATACCTCTCAAAACTAAATTTATCTCTATTGGAAATTTCTGAAAAATGGTTTTAACAACCATGGACATAACGGCAAACTGCAATCAAAACTACTCAGATATGACTCTGAATCCTGTTTTTTTTCTTTCTTTTGGTTACTTTTGGACTTATCAGCACTTCAACGTTTGTATTGTGATTTGGATTTTTAAGTATTTCGATGTTATTTAGCGATTTTTAAGGAACTTTGTTTTATACCTTCTATGAATAATCTATCAATATACTTACATTTTTAAATTCATTTTGCATTTTATTTAATGTTATTTTTAATATTTTCATTATTATACCTGATTCAAAGTGAACCGTATTTCAAAGATTACAGTGAAAAATATAGAATGTAAATTAGATTGATAACAAAAGGTATACCCTAAAGAAAGGAAAGTAAGATGAAATCTGATTACAATGTGGGGGAAATTGGACAATCGTCCGAAAAAAACCCACTATAAACTCTCGCTCATATCAAATGCATTTTAGCTTTTCATTTTTCTATGTATCCACAACTTAAGTTTTGATGTTGATTTTTTGTTTTTCTTCTACTACCCGTATAAGTTTTAAATTCTAGATTTCTAATAATGTTTATTGGTTTTCTTCTTTTGCACTTAATTGACCTTAAAGGTCACCAGCAGTAGAGACGAGAAAACGTTCTTCAGATGAAAAATTAAAGAATGGTAGGACAGATGTTAAAGGTACGAAGTATCGACATATTAAATTTTAGATTTAGACAATTATCGCTCGTGCAAAGTTACGAAAAAATAAAAACGAAAGAATAGTTTAAAGTATAAAGAAAAGATACAACAAAACATGCAATTGTAGAGCCATCTCTAATTGTTACAACAAAACATGCAATTGTAGAGCCATCTCTAATTGTTACAACAAAACATGCAATTGTAGAGCCATCTCTAATTGTTACAACAAAACATGCAATTGTAGAGCCATCTCTAATTGTTACAACAAAACATGCAATTGTAGAGCTATCTCTAATTGTTACAACAAAACATGCAATTGTAGAGCCATCTCTAATTGTTACAACAAAACATGCAATTGTAGAGCCATCTCTAATTGTTACAACAAAACATGCAATTGTAGAGCTATCTCTAATTGTTACAACAAAACATGCAATTGTAGAGCCATCTCTAATTGTTACAACAGAACATGCAATTGTAGAGCCATCTCTAATTGTTACAACAGAACATGCAATTGTAGAGCCATCTCTTATTGTTACAACAAAACATGCAATTGTAGAGCCATCTCTAATTGTTACAACAGAACATGCAATTGTAGAGCCATCTCTTATTGTTACAACAAAACATGCAATTGTAGAGCCATCTCTAATTGTTACAACAGAACATGCAATTGTAGAGCCATCTCTTATTGTTACAACAGAACATGCAATTGTAGAGCCAGCTCTAATTGTTTTTTTAAAGAAAAATACAAATAAGGTGCATGACGTTTATAAACTGTTTGATCTAGCGAAAACATTCAACTTTATTTTAAATATGGACCATCATTCACATTTTGTGTAATAGCTCGTGACGGTATAAATCTTAGAAGCAAACTAACTTCAAAAAACGTTTAGTTTATCATAGAAAAGTTTCTTCAACTGCTGTTAGTCGGAATATTTCATTTTCAATTAACTTTCCCAAAGGACACAAAATATATAAGTAGATATAATTCGTGAAAACTGTGGTAAAATCGCTTACGCAATACATAATTTAGAAAAAAAGAATTTCAAAACAACATTGGCATCAGGAGTTACCAATGTTGATGAAATATCACTATTTCACAAAATAATATTAGAATATCATTTCATAACTATATAATATGTAAAAAGAAATACGTTAAAACCCGTTACAAGTTTGATATTCGAAATGACATTTTAAAGTTTTTTCGATAAAGCAGGAAGTGCACGAATTATTACTTAAGCTTGCCTTGTTCATGTTTTAAGCTGAAGGAGGAAAGTCAAGAAAAAAGAAGAAACGGTTAGCATCAGACGCAACAATAAAGAAAGGCTCTTAAATCTATTTATAATTTTTTTTGTATAGATATATTAGACAAATTGTTAAGGATGTCAGCAAGGACTATTTTAGATGCTGACATAATGACACAATTGTGACGGATATTGGTTAAACTGTTTATTGTTCTAATCGATTCATCGGTCAGGGATATCATATGACATTAACCCGTTAACATAGGGAACCAGCTATAATATTTCTAATATGTCAAATCACTACTGTTGTTTAAACTAATGTCTGTTACATATATAATTTTATACTATACAATACAATCTATGGATGACCACGCCACACAATTATCATTTCCTTTCACTAGTTTGTAATTATTTCTTTTTAGAAAACATTAATATCAGAAAGGAAATCTGTATTAAAATTGTATAAGAACTAAACGTCACGTTTCTGAAAATGAAGCATCATTTTATTTGAGTGTATAGTATTCGTTTATTGTATGCTGTAGTCATGCATTTGACTTGAGTATGAAGTACACCAGGCAGAGGGCAGCTTTTGATGAAAAGAATATTCCTTTTGTAATATATTTGTTTTTAATTGATTTATCTAAAATCGAAATTTCTCTAATAAATACTTGAAAAGTTATTAATACTATATTCAGTGTTATTCATGTACATCTGTATTATTAGTTTCTAAGACTATTTAAAGTGTATCATCGGTATATATTTCCTCAGATAGAATTTTCTCATACTTTGCCAAAATGAAGATTTTACCATGCTTTTTTAAAAAAAAATATAATAAAAATTATGGGTCACCGTGCTATTTTTCAAGCTACAAGTCGTGCAAATTGCCCAAATTTGCATGGATTGTTCATGAAAAAAACTCATTTTTGTGAATAAAACGAAATCTATGAGATAGAATTTTGAAATAAAATATGAGAAGATAGGTTCTATAATATGCTTTAAGAAAATACAAAGAAACAATGGTGTCACCGAACTTGTTTTAATGCTAACAGTAAAAAATGAAAATTTCACTATCATTCTAGTATACAATTTTTACTATAAGAGTTATCTCCCTTTAAATGGCTAAGTTGAAAAATTGTTTCTAAAAAAACACAATTTTTTGGTATTTTTACAGCCGATTCCAACGAGTGTGTAGCTAAAGGTAGAATCTTTGGTTAGCTTCCTTGCTAGCTCAACCATGAAATGATTATTACCTTAAGATTGGGAGGAGCAAAGCACCATCGTATCATCCAATGAAAACATTTATATCAATGGCCTGTTTATTATTTATAATATATGTATGTTTCATACAAAGGTTTACCTAGACTACTTTGCAAATAAAATTTCATTTCTTAGTATTTGATTGAATTAAAAAATCTTTTTATTACAATAAATTAGAAGCGGAGTAACGTTTTTTTTTAAATATGTACGCCGTGAATATGCAGTTTAGTTAATCAGTGTCTTTAGGTGCACGCAAAAAAACATTGTTATGGTCTTGGTGTCTTTTCTTCATATATATGCATAGTTTTTAGAACTAAAATCATTTATATTCACCAGAAAAGAAAAAAATATCATACTACTTAATATCATGCACGGTTGCATTTGTTGACCTTTTATTTAGTTAAAAATGCAACGAAAAAAAAACCCAGCAAACAACTGCAGTCTGGAATTGAAAATATTGCAGAGTTTTTGAACATCCACTTGGTCCGTTAACATTACCTTACTTATTAGTTTTAGATAAATAATGCAGCCATGAAGAACAATTTTTATGTCTTTACTTCAGTTTCAATCTGACCTAGATTGAATGATCAGGTCATATGTACTTTTGGACACCTTCATATCTTTTTTACCTGTCCGGGTGTATTTTAAACATATGTGTATGTGTTAAAGTGAATACGGTCAGCACTTGTCAATCATAACCAACTTCATTTTATTAACTTGATGTAACAAATTCAACAGACGAGTTAAATATATTATTATTTGTAATGTCTGACGAAGAAGAAAAAAATAGGGAATTTCAGCTTTCAGTTAACTTTTCATCATTTTGGCAAATCAAAACAGTTTCTTGTGTACAAATTTGGAGTTTAGTATGGCGTTCATTATCACTGAACTAGTATATATTTTTGTTTAGGGGCCAGCTGAAGGACGCCTCCGGGTGCGGGAATTTCTCGCTGCATTGAAGACCTGTTGGTGACCTTCTGCTGTTGTCTGTTCTATGGTCGGGTTGTTGTCTCTTTGACACATTCCCCATTTCCATTCTCAAGTTTACACCTACAACATGCATGCTTGTGAATGAGCTTATAATTATCACTAAATTTTAAATTTAGATTGAAAACTTATTTTTAAACTGACTTGTAAAACTAGATTTACAATGTTTATATTCTGTCACTTAATTCTGATTGGTTCTCTGCTTAACTATTGACTCCACCCAAAGGCTGTATGTGCCTTACCTAATAATGATTTCATGGTTGAGCTAGCAAGGAAGCTAACCAAAGATTCTACCTTTGGCTACACACTCTTGAAATCGGATGTAAAACATTTTGGGTAATGCAATAAATCACTTTTTTTCTTTGTACAAATAAACAGCCTTACACATAAATTGCTAACCTTTCTCAAAATTTGCAGATTAAGGTAGATGTGGGTCTAAATTAAAATCCCTAGAATATTCTGATAATTTGTCAAAATGTAGTTTATATCATGCTTTTTTCAAAAATATAATGAAAAGTATGGGTTACCGGGCTTTTTTTTTTGACGCTACAGGTTGTGCAAAATTGCCAGATTTTGTATAGATTATGCATTGGAAACCCACTTTTGTGTGATAAAAAGAAAACTACACCATAGAATTTTAATATAAATTATGAGAAGATAGCTCTAATGATATGCTTTCAGATGAGAAAAAGAAAAAATGTGATCACCTGACTCGTTTTCTTGCTACATAATAAAATAGGTAAATTCAAAACACATTCTATTATAAAAGTTACTTTATTCGACTTATCTCCCCTTATGTGGCAAAGTTGGAAAAAAAAGTGAATCAAACAAAAGTATTGTCTTTTTTGTAAAATACAGCCGTAAATATGATAAAACACATAATTTTCTTTATTAAAAAAGTCATGAAAAGTTTTACACATAGATTACATACTACTTTCGAAATTTGCACATTTCATTAAAGATCTTTGCCGATTGTAGTCTGCTATTTAAGAATTCAAGATGGAGGAAGACACCCTAGCTACCTTAAGGCAAAAAATTAGATCAATTGTGTATTGCTTTTGAACAATCCAAAATAGCATTGCAATTTTCTGTTTGTTTTGTTCACACATCGTTGTCAATATAATGGAATTTGATGCGACTGTCATACAAGTGAGAGGTTTAGCTAGCTTTAAAACCTGGTTTAATCCACCATTTTCTACATAAGAAAATGCCTGTACCAAGTCAGGAATATGACAGTTGTTATCCTTTCGTTTGATGTGTTTGAGCTTTTGATTTTGCCATTTGATTAGGGACTTTCCTTTTAGAATTTTCCTCGGAGTTCAGTATTTTTGTGATTTTACTTTTTGCTGTCTGTCATATTTGTTTTTACGTTTTTGTTTTTATCAAAGATACTAATTGTTAGTTTTCACGTGTGATTTCTTCTTACGTTTTTTTTATTTCCGGGCTTTTTATAGCTTTCTATACAGTATGGATTTTGTTCATTGTTTAAAGCTATATGCTGACTTATAGTTTCAAATTCATGGAATCATCTTGTGGATAATTATTTCATTGGCAGACCAGATCTCATGGACAAAAAGGAGAGAAAAAAACAGGAAAAAGAAAATACAACAAAGAAAAACCAATGATTGAGCAACGAGGAACGAACCTTAACTTACGAGCTTTATAAACAACAACGCCGTTAAAATCGGAATGTGTAACCCATTTTTAATGCAAGTAAAGCCAAATTATCAAAATCAGATCTTTGTGTCTACGAAAAAAAATACTAAATGTCTAAATAAACTTGTGGAAACGATATTCCTAACTCAAAATGAATCCGTTTTATAATTTGAGCCTTTTTATCGAAGCAGTCCTAAGATCAGGACATGTCCTAAGACCATCTTAGGTCATACCTTTGTCAAACCCTCTTTTTAGTACTATTAGTTGCAACATTGGAAATTTTACTCAGCAGTTAAGATTTATGATTTCAGGAGAGCATGTGGTTTGGCATCTGTAAAGTTAGTATTCCTCCTTTTCTTTATATTCACTCGCATATTTTTTTGGCAAAATTAAAAAAAAATACTGTTATGAACTACCTTAGTAACCCCTTTTCAACTCAACGCAATTATCATACACATCATTCATTTCAAATTGGGGCAATAATACATTTATGGTTGTTCGATTGATTGGTAGTTGTTTTCTTTACGTCCAGTGGCAAATATTTCATGCCTGTTCAGGACGAGAACGAATTACCAATTAAAATAATAAGTAGATTCTGCAATAGGGAGTCAACCTGATGAAAGGGGGTGTTAAGAATGACACTGGAAAATAAGGATATCTTTGATAGGGACAGAATTTAAGACTTACAACAGACTACCTACGAAGCCCTCAAGAGTTGTAAAAACCCAGCTAACACAACATTATCCGTCGTCATCTGTGACACAGATATTTCATTACGGTCAACAAACTCGTGATAGTGTTCGTAAAATTTTCGAAGGGATGAATTCAACTTCACCACCTTGAACTCTTGGTCCAATAGCTTCTTTGTAAGCAGCAACCCTCTATCAAGGAAATCAGGAAAGGAAATGCAAGCTCTGAAATATCGTATCAACTGGGAGAGATATACTACATATGCAGGCGCTACTTGAATGTTGCTACATAGAAATGAAAGTTTACAATTGGGAAGCTGACATAATCTCTTTAGTCGTTAAGCTTTGTTCTCAACCGACCCTCATTGTCAATTTCTAGATGTAAATCAAGATATGAGGAGGACTTAAAAAGTAAAAAAACAAAAAAACCGAACTCCAAGGAAAAATCAAAACGGATTTCTTTATCAAATGGTAAAATCAAACGCTCAAACACATCAAGCGAATGGAAAACAACTGTCATATTCCTGACTTGGTACAGGTATTTCCTAATGTACAAAATGGTGGATTAAACCTGGTTTCATAGCTAGCTCAACCTCTCACTTATATGACAGTCGCATACAATTCCATAATATTGACAACAATGTGTGAACAAAACAAACAGACATAATTATTCGCTGTGTTGAAGACCCATTGGTGGCCTTCAGCTGGTTTTTTTTTGCTCTTTGGTCGGGTTGTTGCCTCTTTGACACATTCCCCGTTTCCATTCTCAATTTTATAATAGGTAAAAATATCAAAAATAGGGGTACAGCAGTCAACGTTGTGTTTTAATCTTAATCACTATAAAAGCAAACAAATATGTCAACAAAGAAAAACAAAATGGCATATAGACAAAGCACAGAAGCGAAAATAAAAGACAAGAATACAAAAATGACCATAGTATATTAAAACAATGGTGGGATGGAAAAGTACCGAACCACGCCAAAAGGATATTACCATAAGTGAACTAAACAGTAAAGGTTGATAATTTACAAAAGACAAATAAAAGAATACTATAACACGTAATTAAGGTGATAAACAACATCATTACCTAGAATCTATA